GAACTCGCACCGATTCCGCCTCCGGTAGAAGCTGCAGCCAGGTCTTCCACTTCATCAACTGCCTCACGCCGATTTCGTCATCCCATGATGATCCCTCTCTCCAAATCTCTTTGAACAGCAATTTCAAGTATACTATGTAGTGGGATATCAAGCCGAGAGGGTCGTACACCGACATCATTACGGTATCCGTCTTGGTGTCCCACCACATTCCGAGGACCTTCTCCAGTACTGCTTCGTTGTTCACGTCCAAACTTTTCTCAGCTGTTCCAGTTTCACCTAGCGCTTGCACAACTGATGGAGAATTTGAAATCCAGTTCCTCATGGTGAACCCGCACTGTAGATGGATGTAATGGATATCCTTCGCTAGCTTTATTGCTTCTTCTTCGGTGTCGACGCTTACCAACATGTCGTCGACGTAGTGACCTTTCTTGATGATTTCAACAGCCTCTGGAAACTGTACTGCGAATCGTGCTGCGTTTTCGTTGATAATGAACTGGGCGCAGCTCGGTGAGCACTTAGCGCCAAACGTACCATCCCGGTTGCACCAGAAAATCCGTTGACAGTGCTGGACAAGCGGGTTCATCAGCATACGGAGGAACATCTCAGCGATGTCCCCAGAAACTGCAATCGGCCACTCCCGGAATCTGTACAGCACAAACGGCAACGCTGTCAGAAGATCTGGTCCTTTCATGAGGACAGAGTTGAGGGAGACTCCATCCACAGTCGCTGCTGCATCCCAAACGATCCGAACTTTGTTTGGCTTGTTCGGGTTGAATACAGGGAGTATTGGCAAGTACCATATGCGATCCCTGGGTTCTCGTAGTTCCTCTGGAGACAATTTGCGAACGTAACCCTTCTGCATGTAATCGTCCATCTTGGCTCTAAGTGTTTCAGCCAAGCTCGAATCACGTTCCATTCTTCTCATCAGGCAATGGTGACGTCTCAATGCCATCGGCCTACTGTCAGGTAGCCGAATGTCGTCGAATTTCCACAGCAGTCCTGTTCGAAATCTTCCAGTCTCGAACTTCATCACTGAACGCATCATCTTTGCAGAGCGTTCATCCTTCGTTGACAAAAGCAGCTTTTCCAGCTTCGCAATGCCCAGGTTTTCGAGTGCAAAATGATCCTTGACCGCTGAATTCAGTTCGACGTCAGCTTCTGAAGAGTGATGACACATATGGAAACTATGCGGTGCGGTATTTGAGCACGCTCTGCCTCCAGCAGGGCACGTTCCGTACACCATCCATCCCAATCTGGTCTTGGCTGCTATGGGTTCGTGTTCTGCACCCTCACGGCTTTCCAACGGATAAACTACTCGTATGTTGTTCATACCAATTAGGATACGAGGCTGCATGTTTGTGTACGAGTCCACGGGTATCCCTTGCAAGTACGCATGCTTCGTGGAAAGCTCCTCAAATGGTAGGGACTGAGAAGGTAGCTTCAATTCCTTCACGGTGTAAACGTCAGCGAGTCGATGTTTGACTTTTTCAAAAAAAAAGTCCTCGTCCTCGTATCGGCATGTATCAGCGGTCCACCGGAGACATAGCGGATGCTTCTCACCTTGCAGCTGTAGCTCCGACGCTAGCCCCTCTTCTAGCAACGTTAACGAAGACCCACAATCGAGGTAGGCGAAGGTGCTGATTCGTGCTCCTTTATTGTGAAGCGTGACGGGAATGTACTGAAAAAGTACGGAATTGCTGTTTCCTCGATGAGTGTTGCAGGTATGCTCGGCGGCGTTTTGATGGCTTGAACCTCTGGTTTCGGAGCAGTTTCAGTGTGAGCATTCAAAAAACCGTCATCCTTTCGTGCATGCCGGGGCTTTTCAGGAACACTCTGAATTTGTGGGATCGTTACACTACTAGCCGCCTCAGCGAGATTATACAGCCAGTCGCTGAACTGTGAGAGTGTAACTCGGTACAGATTCTGGCGGTGAGTTGCCCAGTTGAGGCGGATCATTGGTGGTAGGCGATCCACAAGACTTTGTAGAAGAGAGATGTTGCAGAGATGCTCTTCCAAATCACAGTTTTGCACTGTCGCTACCATGTTCCTCACGGCGATAGCAAAGTCGACCAGTATGCCAAGTTTCTCTGCTTTCGGTGATGGCAGGAGCTGAATCTTCTGTATGAGGGAATGAACTATAATCTCGGGACGGCCAAACAACATTTTGAGGGTTGCCAAAACGTTTTCTAGGTTCCTTGGGTGTAGCAACTGACACCTCACTGCTTCGAGTGCCTTGCCCTTGAGACATTTCTGTAATCGTATCATATTTTCTTCCGGGGTGTAGCCACAAATACGTGTTGTACTGTTAAATGTAGCAATAAATAACGGCCACTGTTCCGGATCACCGTTGTACTCCGGGAGGTCCTTAGATACGGCTTGGCGCGCAGCAATTTGACTTCTGTTGAGTAAAGCCGATTCGTTCTCGAATCCAGTTGCTTGCAGATGATCTTCATTACGGAATCCTGGAATGCTCGGACGAGTTTGTTGTACTGGTGAAGGTTGGAACTGCGAACTGGTACCAGTCTGAAGCGGCCTGCTAGACCTTCGTGGGTTTTGAACCGGGGAAGAATGGTACTGTGGGTTTGGAAAAACTGGAGCGGGAGGTGATTGCACAATATGCACTCGTGGAAAATCCGGGAATGACTGATGCTGACTGGTTGGGTGTGCTGAATCACTGCTGTGTAATCCAACCAGTGGAATTGTTGTAATCGGCGGCTCAACTTGTGGTGCGTCCATCAATAAACGGTACCGTTGTAGCAGATGTCTCCTTTCGAGAGCCTGTTCTTCTTCCAGGTAACGGAGCCTCAAATCCATAGGCATCTGAGAAACAGGATTCGGTTGTAATGTTGGTACGGACGGAGCAGTTGTCATGATTGGTTCAATCTGCGGAAAGTATACGTGACTACCACAGGTATACCTAGGATCGTACGCCCTATTATAGGTCGATGTCGTCTGGCTGACTGGTGGAATGTATGCTTGACTTGTTGGGCATTCACAAACGGGAGCTTCATAGGACGTACTTGGTCCTCCTGGTGGAAGCTAGACTAGAGGTGGTACTAATGGCTGCGTTTCGAATTCAACGGCTGGTATATGTACTGGCGGCATCGAGAATGACGCAGTTGGTACTGGAGCAGGGAAACTGGCGCTACGGCATCTCTGACAGCTCCAATCGTAATCATCAAGGGCGTCACTCACATCAGCGCACAGAGAGGACAATTTTGTTCCAGGCTGTCTTCTTCCAGTGGTTGCGGCCGACGTGGCATCGCTATAGATACTTGATCCTGGAAAAACGAAACTTTAAGATGTTGCTTATGCAACTAATAAAGAAGTCAGCTCCGAAATTTTAAACGTATTTATTATGTGTTACGTGTTAAAGTTTCCTAAAAAAAATTATGCGTTTTAGAATACAATGTTTACTATGATCTTATAACTTACGTTTTGTAATTTTCTTTCATTTTTTAACCCGGAATGGGATCTATGTAACGCTAGGCTTAGGGAATCCTGAATACAATTAATCAAATTTAGGAAGTATTCAAATTAAACTTTTAGTTAACAAATTTATCGGTTTGTGCAGAATAACTATAGTTTTCTTTTCTTGTTACTCTTGTTTAGATTGGAACCAATGTTTACTCCCCAGCATTATTCCTGAAAGTAATCTAACTGAGAATTTCAGAAGAGACGTGAGTGTCGCTAGTATCCAATCTACGAAGTATATCATAACAACGCTAACGCTAACGCTAATAACTATAGTTTTCTTTTCTGTCTAGAGGCGGCTCAAGGCAGAGTGCAAATCAAAGTTAAGGTAACAATTTCTAGGATAATAAATTTAATTTTAATTAGCACTTCAATAAACAAAACTGTTATTTGTTCAACTCACTGCATGTGTAGAATAACAAATTTAGGTTTAAATGTAAATATATGCGCGATAATTAGGCAAATAAATTACGATAATCTTTTTCGACATCGTGTAACACCAATTCAGCTTTGTTATAAGCACTCTTTGTTCTTCTCCATGATCTCGTTTTGTCAGCTTTCGCTTGTTCAGTTGGTACCGAAGTGTTGATTTGGAGGTAGGCTCACAGACGAGGGGCGTTCGCAACAATCATTTTTCACCCTCTATTGGTCACTATTGAAAATTGCACGAACGTGCAACAGTTGCTATGATAATTAAATTTATTACCGGTTGCCTGCGAAAAGCGATTTTCCTTACACAGATTTCAAAGTTGAATTCCATAATTACATCCGGTCTCACCAAACGGTGTTTATTTATTCTCCAGTGTGTACTGGAGAACACAACAAAAGGCTGCCTGCAAGCAGCGAGCTGCAGACCACTTGAGCATCCATAGGAGGAAGAAGCCGCACCGCTATTGATCGGAATCAGTAGCTCTTCGTGAGTCGCTGTGGGCCATCGATATCAAGCGCGTCATACTAAAGGGTATAAACAGAGAGAACCCCGCTCAAATTCCTATTCCTACACAAAACACAAGCTCCTGCTGCAGTAAACAAATAACATTTATTATATAAGACCGCGTAGTCCTACGTCACCATTGCGTACAACCCGATAGTCTGTTAATGTCTTGTTACCACCTCTGACCGTCTAGAGCATGTTATTCATTACTGTAAACCGTTACTTTGAAGCGACCATCAGCTTAACGAAACAGGTCACAGCGCCTTCAATCAGTTCAATCCCACAAAAACCGCAAATTACCTTACGTTGGAACAATTCCGGAATCACATATACCTATAGCAGTTAACGACTAGACGACGGCAATAAATATGAATTGTTGCACACATTCTGGACAAAACCGCAAAACCGCGAAACGAGCCATCCTCATCCTCATTCAAGTTGTGATTGTTGCCTACACAAGCGTCGAGCATAGGTGTGCTGTGCGACCAGATGTCAAGCATAATGAAAATGTAGGCCGGTAACTCAGAAAGTCTATAGTTGATCAATCGATCAATCGATCGATCGATCGATCGAGATCGAGATGTGTACTTACCACCAGAGGACCGTCCACGCCGGCACTGGCCACCGTCGCGCCGAACCATTGGTTCGATTTGGTGTCAACCTGTTCGTTTTTATCGTTGAACGAGTTTCCTAAAAAAGGCGTCCACGGGTAGAGGGAAGAGAAAGAAAGAAAGAAAAAGAACCAGATTGAGAAATTTGATGATCAGGATTGATGGCATTCGGTCGGTTCGGAAATTACGGTGGCAGTAAAATATTGTGTGAGCGTCTAACTGCGTGAGAGAGTGTTGGTTGTGTATTTGCATTTGGCGAAAAACAGGTCCTTAATTGATTGTATATAAATTTAATTTGGGCGACTAATTGGAATGTGGTGTTTTTTTTTATTTAATTCAGAAAGGCACTACTAAATCGCTAATGAGTGTGAGGCTTATGTACAGTAAATAATTGGTTTTCGCATTGTCTACGTCTTTTTGTACATAGAAATTATCCAACGAAAAAAAAAGAAAATATACTGCGCGATTTGTTTCAGTGTATGATCAGCAAAATAGTAAATAAAATTAAATCTTTACACACAGAAATAATTTCTATTTATACACGGTAAGGAAAAAGTACCCAAAAGTAAGTTCTTTTCACTCATCTCGGCACTATAGTGCAGGAACTCAAAAGTAGGTAAAGCGGGTAAAAGTAGTTGTTATTTACTTGTGTGCAATTTGTATGGAATTTTCCACTTGCTTTCTACCCAAAAGTAAGTTGATTGTACCGAAAAGTAGGTAAATATGATTATACTGATTTGTAGAGAGTAGCTAAAGACGTCTGTCTTTAGTAGTGGTTAGAGAAGAACTAATATTATTTAAGACGTTTACAATTAAGTATAAATGTCAAGGCTTGCTTCGATTGCTAACAGCTTCGCTTCAACGCTCCTCCTCAAGCCACAGAGATTCCCATCATCGTACGGCTCTCTTCAAACTGCGTCATCTGCAATGGTTTGGTTAATCCATCAGCGATCTGCTCCTCCGTACCAACGTAAACCAGTTTCACCACACCACGATCCAAAGCGTCCCTGATGTAGTGATGGCGTATGTCGATATGCTTCGTGCGAGGATTATAACCACCACTCTTGGCGATTGCAATACAGCTTTGGTTGTCGCAGCGGATTTCCATTTCTCCTTCTTCGTTGAATAGCACAGAAAGTCCTCGCCACCAGGACGCTCCCTGTACCGCAGCCGAAACGGACATATATTCCGCCTCACACGTCGATAGCGCCACGCCTTGAGCCATGAAAACGTTGCCGCTGGTTGACTAACGTTCGTCCGAATCGGATTCCCAATCCGCGTCGCAGTAGCCGACTATGCTTGAATCAGCATGTTTGTTGTAGACCAACTTCAAGTTTGAGGTTCCACGTAAGTAACGCAGAACATGCTTCACCGCATTCCAGTGCTTGATACCGGGATTATTGTTGAACCGGCTGAGGGTATTCACGGCGAACAGTATGTCCGATCGAGTGCTTTGCGCCAAATACATAAGACACCCGACAGCTTCCTGATACGGGACATCCTTCATAGCAGCAGATTCTTCGTCATCCTTCGGGCTCGCATCCTTGGAAAGTTTCTCGCTAGTGTTCATCGGTACCTTCACTGGTTTTTGCACCGATCCATGTTGAACCGCTTCAAAATCGTTTCGATGTAGGCTTCTTGATCCAACGTTATCCCGTCAGTTGTTCTACCGACCCGGATCCCAAGACAGTGTTTCGCAGGTCCCAGATCTTTCATCCGGAAAGTGTTGCTTAGCTGTTGCTTCAGCATATTTTTCCATGTCTCGTCGTTGCTGAATATCATTAAATCGTCTACATAAATAGCAACAATATATTTAATGCAGACGTAGACGCAAGGATCGTATTGCGTTGATACCAGGCTAAATCGCCGCAGAGCCGCATCCACCATGCACACCTCGGTCTTCCTTCTTCCGTCAACGAAGCATGGGGGCTGTTCCATGTATATTTCCTCGTCGAGGTCACCCTGCAGGAAAGCCGTGAGGTCGTGCTTGACAGCCAGGGCAAAAGGTATCGCAGCAAACTATAGCGAACAACGGGAGCATACGTTTCATCGTAGTCTACCCCCTTTCGCTGTGAATAGCCTTTGATGACCAACCGCGCCTTGTACCGTTGAACTCCTCCTGCAGCATCACGTTTCGTTTTGTACACCCATTTGCACTTGATTGCCTTCCTTCCCTTCGGAAGCTTGGTGAGGGTCCAGGTGTTATTGTCCACCAGTATGTCGAACTCCTCTTGCATGACACGCTTCCATGCACTGCTATCGTCCCGAGCCAATGCTTCTTGATGAGAAACGGGGTTGTCTCCGAATTCGCCATCCATGCCAGATGCTAATGCCACTAGACCGTCGCGACCAGTGCTATCGTCAACGGGGAAACCATGGAAGTCGCTCGATTCATCGGAGATTGGCTGTGAAAGTGAGATACCAGGAAGGCCAGTACTATCAACGTGAAAATCTTTGTACTAGCCTGGAAGCACGTGCTCCCGTCCGCTGCGCCTCAACACTTTTGACCGAGGTGGTTCTGAAGTTTGTCGCAGAGGGAGCACAAGGTCAGTCAATGTGGATGTGTTGGTATCGTTATCGCCGCTTGAATCATCTGCTTCATGGTTCTCGTCTTCTGACTCCGATTCGCAAGGCTCGGTCGGATCAATTGGAATGATGGGCTTGAATACGGTCTCGAACGGTTCCTCGACTTCCAGTCTGCCTTGCTACGCCGAGCATCGGGACCTACAGCTTCAGATGGGATTTCTTCGTCCAGGAAAACGTCTTCACGGCTCTTGATAGTTACCTTCTTCTTCGGGTCGTATAGACGATATCCCTTGGTTTCTCCATCGAATCCCGTCAGCACGCATTCGTGGGATTTGGGGTCCTACTTGCGTCGTTTCTGCTTTGGAATCTGGACCATGGCGTTCGTTCCAAAAACACGAACATGTGAAAGGTTTGGCTTTCTTCCACTCCACGCTTCTTCGGGGTTACGGGTAGGTGATCGGTTGATCAGATAAACAGCTGCTGACACAGCCTTGGCCCAGAAGCCTTTCGATAGCCTGGATTCGAATAGGAGACATCACGCTTTCTCCACGATGGTCCGATTGGCGCGCTCGGCCAATCCGTTTTGCTCGGGAGTGTAATCGTTCGTTGGTCGTCTCGAGTCGGATGCCCTCTTTCTGCAAATAACCTTAGAAACCATTGTTCAGATACTCCTTACCATTGTCAGTCCGTATTGTTTTAAGCTTCTGGCCGCTTTGCCGTTCGGCCATCACGTGGAAGTTCTTGAAAACTGCTAACACCTCGGCTTCTGATTTGGTTTTCTGGAAGTCACACGAACATGCGTCTAGTTTTGTCATCGATGAAAGTAATGTAGAACCGATTACCGTCAATCGAATTCATCTCCATCGGTCCACTGATATCCGAATGAACCAGTTGTAACACCTTCGACGCACGGGATCCGCTTTTTGGAAACGGCAATTTCGACTGCTTTCCCGTAGAGCAAACGCGACAGCCTGCAGTGCTAGCTTCAACATTCAGTGTAATCTTTGTCGCAAGGCCACCAGCAAGCTTCTTCAAATTTCCCACTCCAAGATGACCCATGCGTTTGTACCAGAAATCGAGCAGCATTACATGACAAAACCTGTGTGTTCTTCGCCGCCTGGTCCAGCTTGAATTGATTGTTGGAGTGGCTCCCGGTTGCCACCAGCTCGTCGTTTGCGTTGTGCACTTTGCAGCCATCGTTGTTGAAAGTTCCGGAATACCCCTTCTGCACGATTCTGCTGACCGAGAGAAGATTCGCCGTCAACCCAGGAATAAGCTGCACGTCACTCACTGCAACGTGTCACCGATAGAAGATTTGCCGTTCCGCAGGCAACGATATCCATCCTGCCACCGTTAGCTGCAACAACCTTACCGTCTGCTTGATCCAGATTTGTGAGGAGCTCTCGATTGCTCGTCATATGTGCAGAATCGAAAATCCAGTCGTTCGCATCCTTCTTGCCAAACGTAGATAGAACCGTGCAAAATGTTTCACTTTTTCTGCATTTCGGGCCCTTGGATGCAGTAGGCTGCTTCATTTGCTTCAAGGTTTTTTGACGTAGGACTACGTCTGTGATTTCTATATGGGGGTACACTTTGTGAAACCCGAAAATGGAACATGTAACAAAATTATGAATGATTTTGAACGTTAATAACTCAGCTGCTCCAGGACCAATTTCAATAATTTTATCACCAATCGATCAGAAATATTTCGACGCATCTGTTAAATTTAATCATTTTTCAAAATGTCACTATTGAAAATTGCACGAATGAAATTTATCACCGATTGCCTACGAAAAACGATTTCCCTAACACAGATTTCAAAGTTGAATTACATCCGGTCTCACCAAACGGTGTTTATTTAATCACCGCGTGGTGAGTGGTGGTGTTCTCCAATACACAACGAAAGGCTGCCTACAAGCAGCGAGCTGCAGCCGACATGAGCATCCATAGAAGGAGGAAGAAGCCGCACCACTATTGATCGGAATAAGTAGCTCTTCGTGAGTCATTGTGGGCCATCTATGTCAAGCGCGTCATACTAAGGCTCTGAACCATTTGGTGGATTATTTTAACTTTTGGTTAAAATTTGACAGATGGAAAGTTATCGATTAACCCTGCAATCCAAGCGTGCTTATTTCTGACAGACAAAAAGTTAAATTTTGACAACCTTGGCTCGAAAACCGGTCGATCGACAGCACGGGGATTTTCGAACATAGAAAATAACTTTTGAAATGTCACTTTTAACCACGAGTTAAATTCAACTCGGCAAATGGTTCACAGCCTAAGGCTCTGAACCATTTGGTGGATTATTTTAACTTTTGGTTAAAATTTAAAAGATGGAAAGTTATCTATTAACCCTGCTATCAGAGCGTGGTTACTTCTGACAGACAAGAAGTTAAATTTTGACAACTGCGGCTGAGTTTTTCTCGAAAACCGGTCGATGGACAGCACAGGGATTTTCGAACATAGAAAATAACTTTCGAAATGTCATTACCCCTGAGGTAAATTTAACTATGGATTATTTTAACTTCTGGTTAAAATTTGACAGATGGAAAG